AATTTAACAAGATCATCATAAGAAGGTGATTCATATTCATCATCATCACTATCACTATCATCATTGCTAGCATTTTCATCACAACTACTATCATCATCATTTGATACCTTTCATTCACCCTTGGCCATAAGGCATAGGTGTGTAGATGATGATGGCGGTGGTGTCGGTGAAGATGATGAAGAGTCAATCACAATGATGGCCACCTTCTCATTCTCACTATCATCATCGGATGAGCAACTAGATGAATCAATGTCCGTGAGCCAATCACCGACAATGTAAGCCTTCCACTTTTCTTCTTCTTATGGAAGTCCTTCTTCTTGCCATCTTTCTTCTTGTATGGCTTGTTTTTCTTCTTCTCATCTCCATCTTCATTGCTAGAGTCATCTTTCTTGCCCCTGTACTTGTTCTTGTACTTGTCTTTCTTGGGCTTAGTGCATTGATGTGCTAGATGACCAAGTTCTCCATAATTGTAGCAATCCATCTCGGAGATTGACTTCCTTCTTGTGCTAATGAAGAAATTCTTTTCTTCCCATCAAACTTGACGCCGTTCTTATTGAGCTGCTTTAGCATCTTGGCGGTTCTTCTCACCATGAGAGCAAGACTTGCATCATCAACTTCATCATCACTTGAGCTATCATACTCAATTCTTGCTTTGCCCTTCTCTTGGCTAGCTTTGAATGCTAAGTCTTTGTCTTTCTTCTTAGTAGAGGATGAGTCATCTTGTGATGTGATGTGCATGTATATTTTATGAGCATTGATCTTTTCCAAGATTTATGTCAGTGTAGCGGTGGAAAGATCACCTTGATGAAGCATGGTCACTATATGCCCATATTTATCAATGGGGAGGACACTCATGATTTTTCTTAGAATATCGGATGGTTGCAATTGAGTGAGTCCAAGCCGTTCACTTCCTCTACAAGAACATTCAAGCGTGAGTATATTTTATTAGCACTCTCTTTAGGAAGCATCTCAAATGAATTTAGCCTTTTCATGACAAGATGATAGCGTTCCTCACGCTCGCTCTTAGTTTCCTCATAGAGCGCACAAATGTCCGACCATAGTGCATGGGCGTCATTGTGGTTCCGCACATGATTGAACACATCTTTGCAAAGGCCTCTAAAAATGGTATTTCTAACCTTAGCATTCTATTTTTCATAATTTACTTCATCGCCTTGAAGATGTGTAGCATCCCTAGGTTTTGGGAAGCCTTGAGAGGCGGCTCTAAGTATTCCAACATCGAGAGCTTCTAAGTAAGCCTCCATACAGATTTTCCAATAAGGAAAATCATTTTCCTTAAAGATAGGAGAAGGACCATCCCCGTGAGACATCTTTCTCTAGGCGGTTAAGCTTAAATACGTGAGCACGAGGCTCCGATACCAATTGAAAGGATCAAGATACCCAAGAGGGGAGGTGAATTAGGCTAATTCTAAAATTATTTGTAATAATTAAACCCTACGGTTAGCCCACTTCACCCCTTATGCCTAGAAAGTATTTCTATTGTTCTACCGCACAAAAGTTTAGCAATCTATGTTCTAATCCTACTCTAGCATAGCAATTCTATGAATGTAAAGACAAGAATTGAATTACTCAAAGTAGATGCTTGAAGTAAAGAGAGAATGAGAAACGCGGAGATATTTTGCTGAGGTATCGAAGAGTCACCACTCCCCACTAGTCCTCGTTGGAGCACCCGCGCAAGGGTATAGCTCCCCCTTGATCCGCGTAAGGATCAAGTGCTCTCTACGGGTTAATTCTTCGACACTCCGTCATGGTGAATCACCCACAACCACTCACAACTTGAGTTGGGTTATCCACAAGCTCCGCTGGATGATCACCAAGCTCCCAATCACCATCAAGTCATCTAGGTGATGGCGATCACCAAGAGTAACAAGCACGAACTCTCACTTGACCACGACAAACCTAATGAGAAGGGTGGATACACACTTTGCTACTCTTGCTTTCACTAATGAGGCCTCTCTTTTGGATTCTCAAATCTCAATCACCTCACTAGGACCTTGCTCTTCTTGACACTCTCAAGGGTGTTTCTCAGCTGTTGGAATGAGCAAAAGTACCCCCTCACACGAATAGAGAAAGTATTTATACACCCCGTTGAAAACGAACCGTTATGTGCCTCTGCGGAGTGACCGGATGCTCCGGTTAGTTCTCCCCGAAACCGAGCAGTTAAGTGGTGACCGGATGCTGAGCAGCGTCCGGTCAGCACTGACCGGACGCGTCCGGTTGCGAAAACCGCTCTATGAAACCTTATTGGAGTTGACCGGACGCTGGCACCCAGCGTCCGGTCGCTTTTCAACTTCAGCGTCCGGTCGCACCAGACGACATCACCTTGATCAAATGAACTGACCGAACTCTGCACCAGCGTCCGGTCACACCGGAACCAGTGTCCGGTCAATATTTGACCCTCCATTCACTTCCAACTCGTAATCATATGTGAATGAAGTTTGCTCCAATTGATCTTAGGGCTACTTAAGAGCTATCTAGTGCTAGATTTGACAAATGTGCACCACACCTAACCCACTAGACTCACCTAGGTCAAGCTACTCGTCCATACCCCATTTAATAGTACGGCCAAAGGAAAAACAAAGTTCTAAACTACTCTAAGTGTCTCTTCAACATCAAACGATACTTAGAACTAGTCCATCTTTAACATTGTCGTCCATCCTTTGAAAATCAAAACGATTTCCATCGTAGGGGCATGACAACCATGATTGCCCAATCAATTGTCATTACCATGACCTAACTTAATTGTATCTGCAAAACACACGTTAGTTACAGTAATCTCGTATTGTCATTAATCACCAAAACCCAACTAGAGCCTAGATGCTTTCAGTCTACTTAACCCCCTCACCTATAAAACCACGTATCTGACACCTTAAACTTTGTAAAACAGATAAATAACCCTCTTGGAGTGGTTTTGTAGTCTGGTTTGGCTGAGTTAGTATTGACATGGGATAGTAATGCCACGTAGGAGCTCTGGGTCATTGTCTTCTTATTCAATCCACCAGTTGGTTTCTCTCTCTTGCCCTTTTCAACTTGTGCTGCAGTGCTGCATAGGCTGTGCGCTCTCGCTCGCTATGCATCGTTGGTCCGCTCGAGCACGCCGTTGTTCCCAACCGCACTAGCTAGGAGGCAGCCTCTCTCGCTTGCGAATGTCGTTGCCCGCGATGTCCCCTAGGCGTCCAACTACGGTGACGGCGAGGTCGAGTATGAGGACGAGGGCGATGACGAGGAGGAGGCGACGGTGGTCGTGCGCATGCCGCGTCGACCTATCCTGGGACCTCTCTCTCGTGCTTTTCCTGCCCTCGGGCTCCCTAGAGCCCTCGTCAGGGTCCGTCGTCGCGGGGGAGGCATTCGCGACCACCGGAGTTGTGTCGTCATGCGCGTCAAGGGGCGGGATCTTGCTGGATCTCGTCTCGCGCGCCTAGGGCCAAGGGCAGCAGGGGCGGAGCGGGAGTGGGATAGGGCCGAGGTCGGCATGTTGGTCTCCGTCGACGGCAATCACGTGCTCCACGTCCACTGCCTATGCAGAAGGCCTCGAAGAGGGGCTGCATGCATGTGCGCCGGGACGGGGAGGACGGGTCTTGGGGCGGGGGACGCGTGCGCGGGCACATCGAGCGCGCGAAAGCGCTCCACAGCGGGGGCCAGCCGTGGAGGCACGCGTGGGCCTTCGGAGATGCGGCAGAAGGAGTCTGCCCCACAGCCAGCGTGTCTTTTCTTGCCAGGTTGGAGTGCCACGTAGGCAAAACCAGCTGCCAAAACCACTCCAGAGTTAATTAAACTGTTTGAGAAACTATCAGGGGTTGAAGTAGTCACAGTGCCAAAGCTGAGGAGGTTACGTAAACTTTTTTCATTTAACGTATGAGCAAAATAACTGACTTCTAGCAGTCTGGTTATCTGTGTGGTCATTGGTCAATCCATGTGCTTTGCAAACCATTGCACTAACACCATCTGTTAGCTAATCCATAATTGATGTTGTTGATTGCATAGCTTGGTGTGAGTAATTGCCCAAGTTAATTTGCCTAAGCCGGACTATGCACTATCCAATCGGTCTTGCTCAAGTTAATTATCACTGCTAGTCCTTAGAATGTACTGAGTACACCCGACATCACAATTTCAGTCGCAAGTCGTACAAAATTATATTGATAACCCTGTTCGCTTGAACTTATCAGCCTGTCTTATTATCCATGATACAATATTTTTTCCCAACAACGAATCAGTTTCAGCCGGCTTATCAGCCGCAGAAACAGGATAGCAAGACGATGGTCATGCCCGTCCCATATATCCAAATGTAAGCCACATCTCTGGTTGCATAATGGGAATAGCACTGTTCAATAATGGGAATAGCAATGTGAGAACTGAAAACATCCGGATAGTGTTAGCCTATTTGATACTTTTATTTCGTCCATTCACATGATGCTTTGCAGTACCACTGTGCACTACAAATTTCTACTGGAAATACGGCTCCTTTTAGGTTGCAGAGGCTGCTGCTGCAGGTAACAGTGGATCTATAGAATGCAGCACCTAAAACCCGTTTATTAGACTGGTGGAAGTGGAACCTGCCTGCTCACTCACATGCCTTGAGCATACAAACCAAGTAGCAAGCATGTTAACTTCTGGATATCATTTTCGTTGCACATCATCACGGAGCCAGAACAGGCGGAGCGCGCCCACCATCCTAGTTGAAGATTAACCAGTAAACAACTTCCTTGGCAAAAACCACGCAATTGGCACTAACAATCTAGTTAAATGATGTCAGCAATGTTAACTAAAAATGGTCCCAACCAGGGGTGTTTTACACCAGATGTAATCAAATGGAGGCATATAAAAAAAATACTTATCTGAATGAAGCAGCAGCAGACGAAGGCGACTACATTCAAATATCAAAATTTAACAGCACTGGTTGTATTGTAAGTAAAGAGTACAATCATCTATCCCCACGGCCTCCTGCACCATTCGTACTCTTTGTAAACACTTCTTTCATGGCATCACTCTCTGCCGTACCTTGACCGCTTGCGATCATCATGTTCCACATCATATTTGTGTCTTTCTGATTTTTCTTCCCTTCCTCTGTCGGATCTGTCATCGTTTCTCTGCCTCTCACCTCGTAATCTCTCAGGTGACTTGTCACGCCTGTATCTGTCCCGGTCATCTGCTCTTCTATCATCGTGCCTACTCCTAGATTCTCGGTCTCCATACCGCTCTGATCTCGATGGTTCACCATCCCTAGAACTCTGACGACTGTTTATGTTTCTCTGAAAGCATAATTCACAACCATCAGAATAGGATGACAACATGATTACTCTATACTCGCAGAAAAAGGTCACTGATAAGCTACAGGCTCAATTATACAAGGATACATATTTTCACCAAATAAAAACAGAAGCAAAGGGATCACATGATGTTACATTAGCATTAAAAATTTCCACACTCAGAAGCATATGCACATGTGAACGACTAACAGAAACTTTGTCACAAGTGTGCATGTTTTTTATTTATAAGAAAAAAAACTTGCTTTGCATTTGTCTAAAGCCTTGCAACTTGCAATTACAAGTTTGTAGCATATCTAGAAACAAGGAAACATGGGGTACACTTGCAAGAAACATTATGTTAAATTGACATGATAGATGATACCCATTTTCTAGCTAGTAATGCATCTGAAAATAATGTTTTATAAAAACACAAATTACTGCAAGTCAGGTATTGGTTTGCATACTGTGCATTCCCAGTGAATAATCCTAGAACCAAGGGCATCCATTGACCTACCTGCTCATCATGCGAAAATTTGCAGGATGCACCACGACTACACTCGCCTTTCTGGAAAGCATAGCACATGCCTCGGCTCTTTGGTACATCACCGTGTTTGTCATGCTCCCATCGTGCACCGCTATCCTCTTTAGAACCCCAACCGGTGTTTGCATTTCTCTGAAAAACAATCCACGAACATCAGAATATGTCACCAAACCAATAACAATAACAAAGCAACATGTTGCTATGCTAATGATTAGCATCAGTATACATATAAAGTAGAAATATGAAATTTGAAATTAAGCACAGGCAATAATCTTTCAGTGCCTGTTTGGAACTTTGGATATGGAGTAATTGGACCCAAACAAATCCCAAAAAAAATTCTATGGTGACAACCCCCACCCCCGGTCTAAAAACGAACAGGGTATTTTGCACAAGCCATAGAATCCCACAACAGTGCCAAGGAATCTCACAGATGTAAATGTGGGTTTCACCCTGATTAGGCCATTCAGTGATTCAACTGGAGTACAGGTTAAGCCATGACAATACAAAGACCTAGCACATTGAAGCTTATGTTGCTTCCAGCAATCACAAGAAACATCGGTAAACTTCATTAAACATTGGTTGTGAGATGACAGAATACCCAACTCCCCTCAGCGACCAAACTGATTGACAACTGATATATTGCTTCTCAAAGATATCACCAGCATTGGTTTGCCTACTGGCATTCCCAATGGATAATCACACCACAGTTTTATCGATGCATTCACAGCACACTGACCTGCTCATCATGCGAATATCTGCAGGAAGCTCCCCGGTTGCACTCGCCTTTCTGGAAAGCGTAGCAGACTCCCCGGGCCTCCCTCTTCTTCTGCTGCTCCTCCTCATCTTCCTCCTCCTTCTTCTTGTACTTGCTCACATGGTCAACCCTTATGATCCTCCCAAGAACTTTAGCTCCATTCAAATTGTCTTCACCATGCGCAATTAGGCAAACAAGAATAATAAATATTAGGACTCGAGCAGGTAATTAACTGAAACTGAATACAGAAGCGACCAAAGAATAATAGGGAGAGAGGGGCGAAAAGGATGCTTACCAACAGCGAGAATCGTGCTTCTCTGGTCCTCGTACGCAAGGAACGCGAACCCCTTGGATTTTCCGGTGCCCTTGTCGCGCACGAGGTTCACGTCGACCACCTCACCGTACCTGCCAAAGGGGGAGACAGGGGACTCGTCAGATCTCCCTGCCGGTATCCATTCGAAGGGGAGGGGAAGGAAGAAGGGAGGGACGGAGGGAGGGGAAGAAAGGTAGGCGTGAAGTGGAGGAGGTGAGGGTTTGTGACTCACTGCGCGAAGATGGCAAGGAGGTCGCCCTCGGTGAGGTCGAAGGGAACTCCGCCGACGTAGACGTAGGCGGAGTCCTTGAACTTGGCGTGCCACGACGCGTCCTCGCCGATGCCCAGGAGCGCCTCCTTCTGGTTGATAACCTGCGTCCGCTTCACCTGCGTGAGGGGATTCATCGCCGCCGCTCCGGCCGCCGGCGCCGACTACTCGAACGGCGACGGATTGGGAGACGAAGAGGAGGCTTCTGGATTTCGCTAGACCTGATCAAAGGGTCGGGCCAGGAAAACCGTGCCCCCACGGCCCGCGGCCCACTCTGGCGGGCTGAAAATTCAAGTCTGGACCACTGGATCTGACCCGGAGATTTTCTGGGTCGGGTCTGCTCACTCGGTCTCAAGTTAAATTAACTTCTAGAATTATCCTAAATCAAACTATTTTAAACTTGACAAATTTATAAAAAAAAATATCAATATTTATGACACCAAATTAGTATTACTAAATACATCATAAAATATATTTTCATAATATATTTATTTGGTGTTATTATTATTATAACTCTTTTATATAAAATTAGTCAAACTTAACATAGAATTGATCTCTCTCTCTCTATATATTCTTATAAAGTTAAATTCCACTAGATGATTTTTTTTTCATGCAAGGTGTCCACGTCATTTCCCATTAAGTGATCCACTAGATGTTCTATCTCTTTCATGCAAGGTGTCCAAATCATTTCTCACTAAGTCCATATTATCTCTTATTAATTATAAAAAAATGTCCATGTCATCTCTATCATGTGCAATACTTTGTTTCATACATATTCCTCTATAACGAATTAAATATTCTATTGGTTTTTCTTCTATTATCTTTTCAATTTTTTACCAAATTTGATACAATAAAATAACACACTAGTGCATAAACCTTAACGGAGATGGGCCTTTTGGATTAACGGAGGCGGACAAACCATCCGCCTTCATCCAAAGGTCACGGTTAATCCATAAACTACGGAAACGGTTGCTTTGCACGCCTCACCCACCTCGATTAATCAATTAACTGAGGCATTAACCGAGACGGCCTCCGTTAATGTCCTTCAAAAAACCCAAAAAAAAAATAAAAACTTACGACTTTAGAGAGTTGAACCCATGATTTGCCACTCAAGTACTCAACACCACCATATCTCTATCACTATACCGCACAGTTTTTCATGTCTATATGTAATATGCTATCTTTTTATATCAATATTCTATAATATTAAATTGGATATTTTGGCTACTAAATGAACTTAAATAAAAAAACTTTTAACTACAAAATTTTAAATCTTGTCAAGTACTACAACTTTGATATAGAATCAGAGATAGTTTGAAAAATTCAAAAAATTGGGTATCAAAATATTTGAATTTCAAACACATATTTAAGACTCTATATGGCTTTAAATCAAAAACTTGTCAATATCAAACATGTGGATAAGGTCGACCACTAGAACTTTGGTATTAAATATATGAACATTTGAGATCATTAAGAAATTCCAAATTTTAAATTTCAAAATCTATAACCTTTGAACGCATATTTAGGACTCTAAACATCTTTAAATTAAAAACTTTTCAACTATAAAGTTGTAGATTCTATTAAGAACTATGACTTTTGTATAGACCATGTCAATATCCGAGATCGTTTGATAATTTTAAATTTTAAAATTCAAAATCTATGCACTTACAACAATATTTTGGGATCCTAAACTATTTTAATTCAAAAACTTTTGAACTACAAAGTTGTAGATCTTGTCAAGAGCTATAATTTTGATATAAAGTTCGCCTTCGTCCGAGTTCATATAAAAACGTTATGATTTTTTTTAATCATTAACCGAGACAGACATCTTAAGATGCCCGCCTCCAAAAATAGTCGATTAACCAAGGCGGTTTACTTACGATGTTCGACTCGGTTAATCCATTAACGAAGGTGGTTGTCTTAAGGCAACCGTCTTGGTTAATCGTTGCCTTATGGTGTCTGCATCGGTTAATGATTAACCGAGACGGTTGTTGGACCGACTGCCTTGCCACGAATAACCATGACGGGTAACTGGCCCAACCTCCTCGGAGGCCATTTTCCAAACGCATTGCATAAAATTTTCTGTAGTGGTGACATGCAAGTCAAATTTATATATATATAACATAATACTATATAGTAATGCTAAGTATGTAACAGATTTATTTTTAAGAAAATCCCGCAGCAACATGTAGGATAGTCTTCAAGTTTTAAGACAGTGATAGTACTTTTTTTTAGATGCATCGTGTTTTCTCAAGTATAAAAAGGCTATCTCTTCTCCTCATCAACTATTTCTCTCTCTTAATTGGTAAACCGGATATTTAGACTCCTCTACCTTTCGCTGATTTATCTCCCTAAACGGTTTACACGTGACACCACGAGAGAGATAATCGAACTTTCATGCTAATTCATAAGTCAACTAGAATTTATAAAAAAAACTATAGAATAATCTTTGATAAAATTATCTAATATATTTCAAAAAATATGCATTAAAATTACTAAAATCTAATTTACTGTTGATTTTTTTTTTTGAAAATTTAAAGTGTTTTTAATATTGTTGGTAGACTAAAACAATTTTTCTTTAATTTTTTAGATGGACCAGATTTTAATATTTTTAAATGCATATCTTCCTTAGAAAGAGTATTCGTAGTTCGTGTATCACATGCATAATACATTTTTTATATTTTCAATTTTTTAGATTAGTACTTAGCACATGCAATTATATATTCATTCAAGATATTTATATCATTAAATAATATCATTCACTAACATATTTTTAAGTTGTCCACATCATCCATTATAATGTATTATGATATTTCTCCGTTCATATAAGTAATATAAGTAGTATGATTTTATCAGAATTTCTACGGCGACATGCAGAGTATCGTTATAGTTGAATTTATGGGCAATCATCTCTGTGGTTCACTAGAGGTTACGATCCATCTCTTTGGCGGGGGGAAAACTCCAGCAATCCTCCACAAAACTAGCACAAGTCCAAATGACTTAGGGCATCCACAGTAGATGTTGTCGATTTCGATAATGACATGGAGCGATTCTGAAATGGCCTATAATTTTAATATCAAACACTTTCATTTATGTTGTATGGTCCTTGGCCCTCCAGATTCTAAAAAAAAGTTACATCTATGTTCTCTTGTGATTGATTGCGAGAGCAAAAAGCAACGCAGGTCCACCATATCATTGGGTTCATATATTTCTCGCTAGTGACGAACAAATTGCTAGTGTCCTTTATGTCAGTTTTTGAGCATAGTCAGCAATCAAATCGTTTTGTTAGGGACACCCTTAGTAGCGTGATAAAATTAGGGGCTGCCTGTACATTCAATTATTCCTTTTACAAACATGAGGAACGATGTCAATTATTGCTTTGTATTCCATCCGAGATGTGCATTGTCTGAATTAAACAATTTGACGAGGTAAATAAGAAGCGAAAAGTATACTAGGGGTGATTGAACAGACCATGTTATGGACGGCATACAAACACCAATTTGTTTCACCATAAATCCATGGGATGTACTTTTATAATGCTTTTCTTTATGTTGAAATTATCACTGTATTTCCCCATACTTTTTAGATTTAAAAGTTTTTTGAAACTGGATTTAAAAGTATTTTACTAGAATGTCAAACCTAAAATATAAGAGCAACTCCAACAGAGTCCCTACTTAAAACCTTAAAATCAAATTTAACAGTTTGAGGCAAAAAAAAAGAGAGGTCTAATAGGGTTTCTGCTGGAGCCCTCAAATTTGAGAAGGCTCTCAAATCCTTCCTCGAGCCCTCATTTCTAGGGGCCTTTGAGGAGGCCTCCAAATTTCTATTGGGGTCGTTGGTCCCTCTTGCTTGAGCACGAATCCACCACTGGATCTCTCCATTGCTTCCCCATCATCGACGCACCACCTCTACAACCTCTCCTCTACTTCCCCACTGCCGACGGACCTCCTCCACTCGCAGCGTGTGGCGCTCACGTCTGCCTGTTCGTGGCGCCTTGCTCCCCACACGAGGTTGCCCTGCTCGCGGCGGCCGGGCTGCTTGCTCGTGGTGAGCCCTGCTCCCCGGCCGTGGTTGCCTGTTCAGCAAGGAACCTCGTGCCCTGCTCCCATGGGTGCCTAGGGCCAACACCCTGCTGCTTCTGTCCGTGAATACTTGCTATGAGCCGGCCCCTCTCCGCCCATGGCTAGGGATGGCCCCTCTCCACCCGCAGGAGACGCATGGCCGAGTTAGTCGATGGGAAGAAGGTACGAAAGAGGATGACAAGCAAGTCCCGCATGTCATTGTTTACTAGAATGGTTTTGAGGGCCCTGCTTTGAGGCAATTGCTGGAGTACAACCAAAAAAATATGACCCTCACAAGTCGGGAATCCATCAAACAAAAAGCAAAGGCACTATTTTGAGGGAACCTATTGGGGTTGCTCAAAGAGTATACCACACAAGGGGCATCCCCTAGACCACGCTCTCGGCCCCCGGCCTGCCACAATCGTGTGATGCGACAGCGCGCTTGCTTCCCCTTTGAAAGGTCCTAATATGGCTAGAGGGGGGTAAATAGCCTATATAAAACTCTACAAAATCACTTAGAGCAATTTGTTAGTACGCTAAACGGCGAAATATAATTTTGCTCTACCTCTACAAGGGTTACAAGCCACCTACCCAACAATTCTAATTGCTGTGATCACTAATTCACACTCAAGCCTAGGTTGCTACTTGCTAAGCTAGTGAGCTCTCAAAGACTAACTAAATAGCCTCACTAACTAAACTAATAAGCTCTCACAACTAGCTACACTAAAGAGCTTGACACTAGGCAAGAAATTAAGTAATATAAATGCAAGAGAGGGATTATGATGATTATACCGCCGCGTAGAGGGAGACGAACCAATCAATATGAATGCCAATCAATCACCGAAAGAAATCCAATCACAAGATGACACATGATTTTTCTCCGGAGGTTCACGTGCTTGCCAGCACGCTAGTTCCCGTTGTGTCAACCAACACTTGTTGGTTCGACGGCTAATAGGCAATGTTTTCCTAAACGGTAAACGGTCTTTACAAGGTCGCTCTTTGTTTAGCGTTTAGGCTGTTTACACAGTGTTTAAACGAAGTTAAACGGTCTAAACGGTTTTGTACTTTAAAAAAAA